GCTGTTATAGCTGCAGAGGGTGGGCTGGCATCATATTAAACCCTATGGATTGATTATGGGATGTCACTCAAGTTCATATGCGTGTGAAAACAAACGAGTGAATACTTTTGGCGATATAGTGTATCTTACTATATTAGTTTACTGATGATAAATTAAATGCAGTAGAAGGTATTTAGTAACATGAAATATGGCAACAGTGATTAAAACTGGATTGCTTATTTAAACTTTCAGGAAACAGTCGAATGAAAAGTAAAAATTTCTTTTTCACTTTACACCCATTCTGGTTTGAGTCAGCTGAAAAAGCAAACACGAGAGTGTCATTTACTACAAGCCTATGGGACTCTTTGTTGATCGGTCGTTTTTACTGGGGTGGTATATTGACTGTGAACTTAGCAAATGACTTCAATCCAGCAGAGGAAGAGAATGCCTCAGAGGCAATGTATATATTGATGAATGGATTCAGAAATTGGTTACAGCTAGATATTGCAAGATATGAGGGAATGTGCAATCATTTTCTGCTGTAGCATTATCTGTATTGACTTGCTATGAGTAGAACAGAAGTATATAGACAGAACTAAAAACTCTCCTTTCTATATCGTCTTCATTTAGTTATTTTTTCTGTCTACTTTCCAGGCCGCGGAACAATATAATATATATATAATGCAACATGCTACCTTTTGAATGCTGGGAATTTGTATTTGTAAACGGTCCAAAAAGTATGTGACAGGTGACAAATGATCTCTTTGTCTATTGCTGTCCACCACAGGTCAGCCTAAAAGAATCCTGTTATTGATCCCTGCAAAAACAAGCCACGTCTGAGAAGCTTTCAGAACAAGCAGACAGCCATTTATGTAGTTATAGGTATTTAAGTATGTAGTTCATCATTCTTGCTTTCTGTGCAATGAACATTTGTGCATAAAAAGCCACGGGGAAAGGCACTTTCAAAAAAAAAAAAAGTTCTTGCCTGTAGCACACATACTGTGAAGTCTCACAAGATGAATTCTCTCAGGATCAGGATCTTGCAAATCTTGCAAAAGCCCAGCTGCCTTGCAAGCAATAATATTCACTTTAAGAAACTATTCATGTTATTATTTTTAAAGCATCCTCATGTTAATTTCATCCATCCATGCATGCCCAGACCTCCTTCTCCCCATCCACATCTTTCAAGCTCTTCCAGGCGGACACTGAAGCATTCTCAAGTGAGCAGATATACATAATCTTTCCAGCATATCCTCAGTCTACCCAGCAACTCTCTCCCAGTAGAACATGCCAGTGCTTATACACTCAACAGTGCACGCTGGAGGTCAACCTTCAGTGAAGCCAACAGAATCCCGACATCCTTTGCCTGCATCCAGAGCTTCTGTTCATAAAAGTTAAGAACATCATCAGTGATAAAAGGGCAGCACTGGCAAAGTTCATTATCCACTGGGTATGAGTCTGACTTTTGACTGGTAGTGCAAAACAAACTCTAATTGTGTTTGTACGGGGATGAAATAGCCATGGCAATGGGACCCTTACGCCTGAAGCACCCTGAAAGGAACATGGTCCAATACCTTTTCCAAGCTTCTCTCCCACTGCTGGCTTTAGGTTGGAGGCCTGATATCCCACAGGCCGGCTCCTCACTCTCATCAAATTTTCCTTGGTAGATCCCATCAGGGACAAGCAGCCTTTGACAACATAACTCCTTTGATCACACAGGCATGCAAACCCCTCCAACACAGTAAAGTGGTCATTCATGAAGAAACTTCTGCATGGTGCCTTGTGTAAACTTCACCCTGCAACAAACACTAGATTATGCAAAGTGGAGCACTGAACTGTAGCTTTTACTGAATACTAGAAAAGATATTTTTATTAAAAATTAAAAACCTTTTATTTTGAAATTTTTATAACATTCACAATTGATAACATAAGCACTGATATTGTATCTAATGCATTTTTGAGGCAACGGAAAAAACAAACCAAATTCAAAAAGTCAATAAATGTCATTTAGTTGCTGCATGTTTGACATTTAAAATATTTTTATGAACTGTTTTTGAAAAAAAAAAACATCTGGTAAAAAAAGGAGTTAAAGTGTTTTGTCACATATTCTTTGTAATTGCCGTACTTTTCTTTGGATACAGTACACTTCACATTTATTTCATCCTTGAGCTGCAACATCAGCTGGCCAGGCAATAATTTAATGATTTAATAATCAGTCGGTACATCAGTTTGATTCAGTGGCTGCTTTGTTTTGATTGTTCAATTTGCCTTACACACAAACAAAGCCACTGATACACACATCTCAGTCATATGGTGTTCTTGTGCCGTTGAAATGGGACCACCTGGAAGACGAAACCAGTGGAATCCAGATGTCGGTTATTATGGTGAACTTGTTCTTTTTGGGTATACTCAGGAATGCCAAGTTTCTGCCTCTCTAGAAGATGTTCAAATTACAATCTGAATATTTTTGTGTGAAGATTTTACCACAGTTTACATTGACTAATAAAATACATTTTTACATGTATATCGTAGAGTTAACAGTTATTAAATTGCTACCTGCTTTTGCCAGCTTTGCTTTCTGTATAACTAAACTTTTAAAAATTACTGTGGGGTTTTATTTATTGTCATCACTGTTTAAAATGACTATATCAGTAATGGGGAAAAGCTGAGTGGTTGTTTTTGATGTCCAGAGTTGATTTCTAATGGCATTGCGTTGTTGCAGAAAGTGACTTGGCAAGTGACAGTGGTAAAAGCCATTATTACATTCAGTGAGCTTAAATTCAACGACCGGGACATTTACACTCCACAGTTTTAAATATGAGGTGGTTCTGTGCTCAAAAACAAACCACAATAAATGTCCATTACCATGCAACAAATTATTGTACAGATGGCTTAGCCCTGGACTGAAAACTCTGAGAAAATATCTTCACTTTGGGTTCCCAACACCACATTCTGCCCACTCTGGCAAGTGACTTTTGTACAAAGCAGCACAATGGATCAGTGGATCTGTGGCTTTAGTCTGGACAGAGGCCATTCTGGCATGCATTTGTATTGTCTGCAACACAGTTAGAAAATGTTCACATAGATAGTCCACATATACATGATATGATGAGTAAGCAGTGCTACTGAATTTCTGAGATCCTATGAGATCCTTTCCATTACAGCCACATTGCAATACTTGGTATAATTATATCTATGTATAAGTTTACATTAGACTTCACCAAAACAAGTGATTATCAAGTAGATTACTACAATTTGCATACCTGACTAAATTAAAATGTCAGAAAATGTATATATAAGTGTATCTTATGTGGCATACACAATAATGCCATCCGACCAAGTAACAGTCACAGTAGGAGGTAGGTACTAATTAGCACACCTTTGTCCAGAGGGAAGTAACTCATCAGCATCATGTTCTGGTGTGATGATTGTTTTTAGCGATACCTGCAGATTGTTTGCTCTCAGCGGCACATGGTGTGAGAGCAGTGACGAGTCAGCCTGCCTGTAGCGCAGTTTGACTTCAGCACCATGGACAGATTTCGTCAGCGCGGTGGAGGAACTTGAGGCTTCAAACTGCTGGACACTGGTTTGCAGGACTCTGAATATAAATGAAACCTCAGCGTGTAGCTTTTGAGCTTTTGAATATAAAATGCTTGCACATGATACTGCCCGATGGGGGTAAACAACCAGCCAAGATCAACGATGCCACCCTGTTTATCCAAGCACTCTAATAAGGCCAGGCTACAATAAGATGCAGAGTGTTTGCTTCTATGGAAAAACTCTAGCTTTAAATCAAATACAATCAACCGTTCGCATGCTGCTTCATCGCGGAAAGAGAGTCTTAATTGTAAGTGAATTAACATTCTCGGAAGGTAGAGATGTATAGTGGAAAATGTAAGAAAATGTTGAACTCGCATTTTTCCAGGCTGTTTGATTTAGTCGCATGTTCTTGCAACCGACCGGGAAAACCCTTCAAAGACGGGCAGAGTACATCTTTCACTGGGACAAGCCGTGAAGCAACCCTTTCGTTTTGCCATCTGGAAAAATGAAACTGTGCTCTCCACCGTGTAACTACGCGATCCCAGACCGTCTGTCAGTTTTACCGACCTGCTACCGGCAGGCTAGATTAAACGACTCTGAATGGGATACGGCATTAACATAACGCACTCTAACACGGAGTACTCCGGGCTATGATTCCCTTTCCGCCGTTTTATTCCCTTATTCTAAGCTATCTCATTATTTCAGACTTTTATGAGCCCGTGTCAAGGAATGGTCGCACCGTCTCTCTTGTATTTGCAGTTTTCCCCTCACTGGGCAGATGTTTGCGCTCACGGGATCATGACGTTGAAATAACGATGATTTTAGCTGGCACTCGGGACGCGAACGGCGTCCGGCAGTTAAAGAGAGCTTGAGGTTTCCCTCACAGGTTTGCACAGGTTGGACAAACATATTCCGCTCTAACAGCGGAGTGGAGCGCTGCGTGAGGATGGATTGGGTTCGTAATGTAATTAGTTATTCACCAGCGCGCGTTCTCTGACACTCTTTCTCACTTTGGACTTAAACCCCACCAACAACAACGCCTCCCCCAAAAACCCAACAGTATATATGTTAAACGTCGCATTTTCAAATTAATCACTTTGATTTTCTGACTTTATGCCCCGCGCACCCCTTTTGTGAATCATTCATTGACAGATTAAACATGAGTTCTGTTGTTTTGTTTTTCTCTCCACTTTAACCCGTCCAGAATTTACCATTTGGGTTCAAGCAAACCTAAAGACGTCGGAGAAGGAGGGTGGAAGATGTAGAAGGAGATGGAGAAGCAGTCCGTCTAACCCTGGGTGAGTGAGTGAGCGAGTGAGAGACAGAGCAGGGGCGGACGAGCTGAAGAGAGAGAGAGACTGGGCGCGCATGTCCAGTTCTTCCATGCAGGCTGTTCTCCCTGCTCGCCAATCATTCTACGAGTTTCCCCTCACTCTTTCTCTCTCCCTGTGTTCACATGTGCACCGGACCCACAGCTTTCTTCTGAGCGGACACTGCAGGGAAAGAACCGACCGAAACCACCATGGAATAGGAATACGACCCGGGAAACGGGGGAAAATAAAACCTCTCTTATCTTCTTCTCTCTTTTTTCCCCATCTCTTTTTTTCTAGCGCCTTTTTCTGTCTTTTCGCATCTTCCCCATCTCCCTCGATGTCTCTCAACAGTTTCTGAAGGGATTGAATTAAAGAAAAATGAGGATTATAATTTTTTCTTGGCACTTTCTCGGGGTGTATTCCGCCCTTTGGGGGCTGGCGACAGGGGCTTTCCCCAGCTCAGTGCAGATAGGTGAGTTGGAGGATTACTGATTTTACGCACGGACACTCAGATCTGACACACTACGCGGAATTTTGGTGGATTTTTAGCGGACAGCAGTCACCATGAAAAAAAGGTGCACCAGGACCCAGCAAACCATAAGATTCTGTAAAACACGAGAAATCCACTTAAGAATAAAGGAACAGAAGAACATATAACTATAGGAACATTCCCTCTGTGGTGCATCTTTTCTTACTTTTATTATTATTTTTCTAATCCAAGATATTTTAGTGCTGGTTTGGTTGTGACTCATATGGTTTATAAATGCACACAAACGCTTTCACTGTCTGTCCTTCTAATGTATTTGCGTGTATTTTACACGCTGTTCGGGGCTCATGAATGTTTTAGCGAGCTTTGTTCCCTTCTAGTCTTCTTCAGTGTTTAGACACTGCAGTATTCTCTCTCTCTCTCTCTCTCTCTCTCCCTCTCTCTCTCTCTCTCTCTCTCTCTCTC